TTTGCCAAATTTATACCTATGTTACTAAATGAATTATTAAAATATTAAAAATGTATAGGACCACAATGGAAATTTTGATTTTCAATTAGCTATCTGTAACTGTCTCTAGACAAGTCATTCAAAATAAGCAATTGTTTCTAAAACTCTGATGTCTCCAAATTTTAAAAAATCCAATTCAAAAACAAAAAACACCCAAGGGCACAGATAGAAAGTAAATGTTTAGAAAATGATGATGGCAACATATGTACAAATATGCTTGAAACAATTGATGTATGGAATGCTATAAGAGCTGTAAGAGCCCCCAACAAAATGATTTTTAAAAATATTTTTAAAGCAAAGACAACAACTAAACCCATTACTATGCATCAATTCCGAATCACAGAAACCTCGTGTTAGAATTTCCGAAGCTGTAAACCTTTAGCAAAGCATATTGCCTCTTCTTTCTCCTGAAGAGCAGCTGGTAGGTTTGAACTGAAGACCAGTAGTAGATCAGACCACTGTGATGCACAGGCTAATCAGAGGCACACCCAAGAACTTGGAAGGCAAGTGTGGAGTCAAAGTCATGGCTCTGATAAGTCTGCAAATGTGGTGTTCATCTGTACCTGGAAGCCATGATCCTGCGGCCCAGTGTTGTGGGTATTAAGAGAGAGGGTGGGGGGCATCTGTGTTTGGCTGGTGCAGATTTAGAAAGCATGTCCCTGCAACCGGTTCTGGTGGAAGCCTCCTGGTGCCCCACTTTCATGATGCAGAGAGGAGGATTGCTAGGTTGGTCTGGAAGTTCCACTAGCCAGTGTGTCGGCAAACGTTTAAGATGGAAGAGCCAATCCTGTTCCTTATAACAATTTAAAAAGTATTCAAGGGTCATAAATATATTTTCACAAACAATTGTAATCACCACCATCTGAATAATACCCTTGAAAATGTTTCAGTTTCATTTCAGGGCAACATGGACATACTGAAAGAGCCAAATATGTCTCCCGAGTCGCAGTTTGTCGACTGGACCCTAGATGGTTCTCAGTCTAGGGATTATGTGGATATCTGGCACAACACACAGCTCAGGGCAGGAAAGCCAGCAATGAGTCACAGGACCCCCTATAGCCCAGGGGAGGCCACCCAGAAGTAGAGTGCATTAACTGTGCAGTTAATGACAGTCGAACAGAATGCTCCCAGAGGAGACCTCTTAAAGAAGAAGAACAACAAAAATGCCAGCTTCAACACCTGCCTGGCTCCAAGAGCGAGACAGCATGTTAGGCAGTTCCCGACAGGGAATAAATGTTCTCGTCTCTTCTGTTTTGGCCCAGATGGGGTCAGAAACCAATTTGAAAACTTGAAGAGATTGGGTGAGGGAACACGGGGAGAAATGCGCTGCCTCCCAGCACCCACATCTGGTGCAGTGATTATGTGTTGGGCTACTAACCTCTAGGACAGCAGTTTGAAACTCCCAGTTCCTCCTCAGGAGAGAGATGACACTTTCTCTTTCCTCCGGTAGAGAGTGACAGGCTAGGAAACCCACAGGGACAGTGCTGTCCTGTCCCATAGGGTCCCTGTGAGTCAGAATTGATGGCAGTGAGTTTGGTTGGGATCTTGAGGGGAACAAGGATTAGCTTTAAATCAAGTTCAAGGTTCTGGGTTCTTACACAGAATTGGACATTGTACAGTTTGAAACTATGTAAATTGAGAAGATGCTTGCAAAAGTGTCCTTGTTAGGTGGGATTGAGTCAGCCACCCTATGTACTACAGAACCAAGCCCTGGCTCGTCGGGCACCATCCGCACAATCGGCGTGTGCCCCTTGCTGCAGCATCGGGTCAGTGCAGCTCATCGAGGGCCTCTTGTTCACCATCCTCTTTTCCAAGCATGACGTCCTTTTCAAGCGCCTGGTTTCTCCTGACAACCAAGTCCAATGTACTTGAGATAAAATCTCGCCATCCTTGCCTCAGGGAGCGTTCTAGCTCTACATTCTCCAAGAAAGGCTTGTTTGTTCTTCTGGCGGGTTCGTGGTATATTCAATATAATCTTTGCCAATGCATTCATTCAAATGCATCAGTCTTTCCCCTGACTTCCCTGTTCAGTGTCCAGCTTTCACACTGTAAGGAAAATCCTAATAGGGAGTTTTAACCTTAGGAAAAGAAACCCAATGCACTGCCCCAGCCCATGCACTTCCCCATATCTGGAATGCACCCATCCCCTGACCCTCTTACTAAAGACCACGGCTGCACTAGAAACCCAGCCTCTTCCAATTCTGTGACCTTGCTCACTTCGATGACCTTACTTCCGCAAATAAAGCTTGAAAGCTATGCCCGCCCGACATCCAGGGCCCAAATCTTCTAGAATGGTAGTTCCTCTGGATTGCCAGCTAATGAAGTTTCCCTCTCTCAAGTTCTCCAAGAGGGCCACCTGGTCATTCCCGAGTACCGATGTTGCTGTCACAACATGTGTGGGAGGCAGTTGAAAGTACCGTGGCTCCAGTCAAGGGCAGCTCCGTCCTCAAAGGGACATCTCAGTGTGATCAGAGAAATCGTATGCAGCCCGAGTTTTCACCCAGAGCAGGGGAAGCAGCAGGGCACTGACTCTTCTAAAGCAAAAGGAAAGCAGAACAAAGGTGGTTTCGGATTACATCTCCTTTTGTCTTCTTTGTCCACTGCCCAATGGAGGCCTGATCTGGGAATCAATTTTCAGTTGTTCCAGTGCCTTTGACACTTGGAGCAAAATATTGTGATTCTTGAATAGGATTTTGCATGTTAAACAACATGTTTTAGGCCCCATGAATGATCCGCTTTGTGTTTCTACTTGATATGAATTCAGAGTCTTTGGGGATAGTTTCACACAGCATAGAAATTGTTAGAATCTCCTTTTTGTTTCTTTAATTAGTAGTCACTTCAAAAAAGGTACCAAGTCACACATTTCCTTTCCTTTAGGCTTTTAAATTCAACTAATGACTTGTTTTATTATCTTTTTTAAATGGATGAAATTTAATCATTGCTGCAAGGGGCTTTTATCACTTAATTCTCTGAAAAATTTTAAGCAGGTTTAACATATTTGGTTTTCTTTACAAGTAATTCAATTATGTCAGATACTGTATGTATTTCTTATAAATCTAGTAAAACAAACTTATTCCACAATCTTTTACATTTGAACTTGTAAGTCTGAACCAATTACTTGATTATACATTTTAAGTTTGAATTACAAAACTAATTTTTGGATTCTAGTATTTTAAATCCTTGTAAGCATTTTGTCATCAATATACCCCCAACTAGACATACACATACCACACAGTTTAATATTCTTAAAACTGTCATACAATTGGTGATTTGGAGTTAACCATGGAGCAATGCTATAAGGCAGGAACTGATTGGTCTTCTCCCTGAAAGCATTCATCCAATTGATAACAACATTATTTTATGTTTGCTGTTAGCTTTCTCAGAACTGAAAAACATTTACTGGCATAAGGAAATAAGGCATCCTGAATCAAAGTGTGAATTCCAGTGCCCTGAGGGCTTGAGTGATAGCCCAGACCATGGTGATTTGAAACCAAATAACCCAAATACCCTGGGGTCCCAGCCTTTCCTCATTGGGTTGCTAACTGAAGAGTTAGCAGTTTGAAACTACCAGCTGCTCAGCTCCATGAAAGAAAGACAAGGCTTTCTACTCCAGCTGAGTTACAGTCTTGGACCCCCACAGGAAGAGTGCTACCTGTTCCCTAGGGTCTCGCTGTGCAGAGTTAGAATCAAGTTGAGTGAGTCTATTTATTGCCCCCCCTTCCCTCCCTTGGGTGACATTAATAATTACATCAAGTACTGTCGCATGTATGCACCAGAATTCAGCCTCCAGTCTACTGGTTTGTGCAACTTCTTTCCCTTGAAGATGCACTACTGTTCTGGATAGTTCCTTAGGACACCAGTCTCCACTGCTGTCCAGTCGATGGCGATTGGTGGCATCCACATGTGTCCGAGTGGAATTGTGCTCCAAGGGACTTTCAGGGGTTGATTGTTTAGAAGTAACTCTCCAAGCCTTTCTTCTGAGGTGCCTGAGGTCACTCCACCTTTGCGAGAGCTGCTGAAAGTATTGACCATTTATACCATCCAGGGACTCCTTACTCTGACTTTTTAGGATTCTTGACCTCTACAGGAGTCCTGGTGGGGCGGTGGTTAAAGCACTTGGTTGATAGCTGAGCCCATCAGTCACCCAGCAAGAGAAAGATGTGGCAGCCGTTTCCAAAAAAGATGGTTTTCGATTGTGTATATAAGGGGGTACCTCAAAATGTTGTCATTGGGGGTCACCCTCTTGAAGTTGTGGTATATGGGTTTTCAGCTTTTGGTATATAAAAACCAGGAGCAATGAACTTAGAGAGTCAGCAAGTGAAATAAGGAGTTTGGCAGGAGGGGGGCACCGAGTTAGGGGTGGGGGACAACACAAGGGATCCAAATAGAAAACGAATGCTTGGAAACGGATTGTGGTAGCAAATGTATAATTCTGATGGACGTGATTGAACTATGGAATGATTTAATCTCTGTATTAATCCCAGTCAATTAAAAAAAATAGACACTCCTATAAACCCGCATGGGCCAGTTCTCCTCTGTCCTTCAGGGCCGCTTTGAGCCTAAATCAACCAGAGAGCAACGGGTTGACTTTGGTTTTGATAGGTGCTTTCATTTGCCTTTCCCGGAACCTGCCACCCAGGTGCACTCCCGCGAATAGTGCGTTGAGAAGACCGTCTCCCCACAGCCTCGCCAGCACTGAGTGTAACCTTTATTTTTATTAGTATCTCCGCCGACTTGAGTGTGCACCGGCAGTCTCGGCTCGTGTTCCTTCGTTTCCTAAGCACTTCAGGACGCTGCTGTGACCTTGCCCATTGACCGTGAGGACGAGCGCCCGCCGGCCCCGGGCCCACCGCCGGGGGGCGGTGCGACTTCGGGCCCCACCCCCGGGTGGGGAGGCGGCGGCGGGAGCAAAGGTTGGAGTGTCTCCGCGGCGCTCGCTTCGCTCGACGGTCGCTGGGGCCATGGCCGTGGGAGCCCGGCTGCGAAGGAAGGCGGCGAGCAGCTTCCCGCGCCGCAAGCCTCGAAGGCGAGGGCGGCGGGAGGGCGACGAGGAGGAGGCCGCCATCCTGGAGCACCTGGAGTGCGGGGACGAGGACGCGGCGGCGAGCGGGGCGAGCGCCCCCGGGGCGCAGAGCTCGCGGAGGGTGCACCTCGCCGTCCTCCCCGAGCGCTACGAGCCGCTGGAGGAGCCGGCGCCCCGGGAGAAGCCCCCGAAAAAGTTCCGGCAGAAGCTGAAGAAGTATGGCAAGGTACCGGGCGTCTGTCCGCGGTGGGCTTTGAGGGGGCTTCTTCGGACCCGGGGGGCGGGGGGAGTCCTGTGGGACCTGCCTGCGAGCGGATCCGCTCGGTGTGACTTTGCCTAACTTCGCCGGGCAGCCCCCGCGCTCCCACTCAACCCCCCACCGCCGCCGCCCTCTCCCCCGCTGCCCACTGCCACCGAGCGGACTCCGACTGGAGCAAGCCTGTGGGACGGTGTTCAACTGGTCCCAGGCTTTCCGAGCCTGTCCGCCTGGCTCGTAGCGACTCTACAAGACAGGGTAGCCCTGGCCCTGTGTCCCTGAACGGTTAATTCTTCACGGGAGTCCAAAGACTCGACTTTCTCCCGCGGAGTAGCTGGTGGCTTCGAACTGCTGACCTTGCATTGTAGTTAGCAGCCCAACTGTGTCACCAGGACTCCTATGGGGTCTCTAGGAACCCTTGATGGCAATGAAAGATGAGCAGACAGCCTCATCCTTCTCCCGTGGAGCAGCTGGTGAGTTTGAACTGCCAGTTTAACCGTCCAATGCTTAATCCACTGTACCTACCTTTCTTTCACTTCTAGAACTCCAGTTCTGTCTGTGAACGGGAGATAAGGGAAGGCGTTTTGAGTAATGATACAAACCATAGGTTCCCAAATTTATTTGGCCTACTGCTTCGTTTTCAAAAGAAATAGAAAAAAAATGTCCTCAGGGCCCCTCCTACCCCCACCGCAATGAAAAACTTATGTGCTATGGTCCATAATCCAAGATATTGCAAATCCGCGGATGGTTCCGTCGCTCTTCGGTGGGTGGTATCGTCCACTTTGGGGAAACAATGCTATAAAACCACAGCAGGGGTTTTGCTCGCTACCATTCTACCTCCCACCACGCAGTTGGCAGATTAGTGGCATTACTAGGTGGCCTCTACCACAGACGTGACTGGCCCTTTTAGAGCTGGCAGGACAAGCATCAGTGGCCCCATGTGACCAATGGGAGGACTGGGGCTTTAGGGTTAGGTAATTAGTAGATGGCGACCTCTTTGAGAAGTAGGGCTTGTAAAGCCACTTCTTCCTTGTCCTGCCGGCCTCCTTTCCAAAAGTTCGGAGAATTGTTTTTTAGATAGTTCCCAGGTTTTTTCAGGGAACTCCTCAAATGTACAGATGTGCTTGTTGGATCTTCTTTATGCTTCTCCTTGGCAGCTGTAAACACACTGCCATTTGCCATTGAGGGAGAAGAGAAATAAAGGGGTAGGAGAGCAGTTTTGGGGTCAGAGATGACTGCCTGAAAACACTCCTAGCTGCCTTGCCCTTTGTTCCTTATGGCTGGGCAGGGTCACCTAGGAGAGAAATCATAAAACTCTTTTTGTCCTGACCAAAGTTCAGGGGCCCCACCTTATCTCTATCTCAGTTATCTGAGTCCTCGGGCCACCTCTTATGCCTGAAGCCAGTCAGTCCCCACAAGTAGAAGATTAGGGTTATCATCTGCTTTAAAGGTACATCATCATATATAAATATATTTACATATGTACATGCCTGTATTTAGATCTCTATACATGCCCTTGGCCTCCTAGTTCTTTCCTCTATTTCCTTTTATTTTCCTCTTGTCCCACTATCATGTTCAGCCTTCATTTGGGTTGAGTAATTCCTCTCAGTTACATTTCCCTTGATCAATCCCCACTAGGCCTCTTACCTCACCACTGATTTTGGATCACTTGTTGTTCCCTTGTCCCTGGGTTTGTTAACACTTCTTTTTCCCCATCTCCCTCTCTCCTATGTCCCCCCAGAACCGACAGTCCATTGTTTTCTCCTTCAGAGAAAACAAAACAACAAAACCAATGACCGAAAAAAAGAAAAGCCTGTGAATAGTTCAAGGTCTGTTTGTTGACCTTTAGGAGTGTTTTGCAGTAGAGTCAGATTGGGTGCCATGCCCTGGACCCAAAGTCTAATTTTGGTACTCCCTCAGGACTTCCTTGCTCTGTTCCCCTTGCTGTTCTGTTGCACACCCTTAGTGTTTTGCCTCTGTGTGGTGGGATCAGACTGGGAGCAATGCCCACACTGTCTCCAGTGTTGTCCCCTATAGGGCTATGGGTCAGTGAGGATGTCGTGTCTCATAGTGGGACCGGCCATATGGTCCTCTCTCCCATTAGCTGCTTGGAGTGGGGATATCATCCTCAAGGCTTGGTGGGCCAGGATGTGCTCCACTCTCTCTTGGGCAACTGGACATAGAGGGGTTGCGGGGAGATGAGCCAGTCAGGATGCAGTGCAGCAAGGATGAAACATACAACTTCCCTCTAGTTCTTAAATGCTTCCACACACCCCCGCCCCAACTATCATGATCCCAATTCTGCCTTACAAATCTGGCTAGACCAGAGGATGTACACTGGTACAGATAGGAATTGGAAACACAGGGAATCCAGGACAGATGAACCCTTCAGGACCAGTGGTGAGAGTGGCTATATTGGGAGGGTGGAGGGAAAGTGGGGGGGAAAGGGGGAATCGATTACAAGGATCTACATATATAACCCCCTCCCTGAGGGATGGACAACAGAAAAGTGGATGAAGGGAGACATTGGACAGTGTAAGAAAGTGTTCATGGCGGTGGAGGGGGGGGGACGAGGAGGGAGGGGTAAAATTAGCTGATACCAAGGGCTCTAGAAGGCAAATGTTTTGAGAATGATGAGGGCAACAAATGTACAAATTTGCTTGACATCGATGGATTGATGGATTGTGATAAGCGTTGTATGAGCCTCCAATAAAATGCTTAAAAAAGAAAGTACATCAGCAGCCTTTGGAATAGAAACTATGCAGTTGGGATTCTCAAGCTTACGGTTGTGTTGCTCACTGCCCTTTGTATGGCTTCCATCTGTTTCGGAGGCTGTAAATTGTTATGGGCACAGAAAGCCTCATCTTTTTCCTGAAGAGAGGAAGGCCTGGGAGGTTTTGAATGACAGACCTTGAAATTAGCAGCTCAAATTGTAACCCAGTACACCACCACCTGGTTGTGTTAGAACCAATCCCTTTCTCTTCCTATTTGAGCACAAAAAAGCTAACATTTGCTGATGGATCTATAATATGTAAATATTGCCTTGGGGGCTAGTACTGGAGATGGGAGTGGGGTGCTTACCATGTGCCAGGCATGGTGCTTATTGGCTAATATTGAGCCAACTCCAATTCCTGGCACCCCCTGGGACTACGGACTCAGATTGACGATCCTTTCTTCTGCTATACCAGTGGGACCATTTGAACTGCCAACTTTTCAGGTAAGCAGTGGAGTTCAAACAGTTTGTTCCACCTTGAGAACTTGAGAGATAAAAAAAATGAGTACAATGCATTCCTGCCTGAAAGGAGTCCACAGCTTCCTAGGGAGACAGACAGGAATATGGCACCACGGGCTTTGTAGGGGGTCCACACAGAGCCTCGTGACACAGGACTGGGGCACTGAGCAGCTCAGGGAGAAGGTTCACATCCACGGTGACGTGAAAGCTGGGTGCCAGAGCATGAGCTGTGGCATAGAGAGGGGCTGCCACCTGACCCAAGCAGAGAGCATCACAAGGAAAAGTGTGGGGTGGGCAGGCAGGGGACGGTGCGAAGACTGGGCTCAGTAGATTCAGCAGATAAGTGAGAGGACATTGTCCTGTTAGAAGTCGACCTGCCCTTTCCGGCCTTCACAAGGGTAAGACAGAGTGACTGAGCTCCATTCTAGAGGACCTTTACTGAAAATCCAGGAGAAGAGCCCATGTGAGGGTGATTTTTTTTTGAGCAGGTGAAGTGTCGAAGTAATACAAATGGTTGATGCTCTTGACTGCTAACCAAAAACTGGTAGGTTCAAATCCACCTAAAGGGCCTTTGGGGAAAAGACATGGCAAACTATGTCCCCAAACCAGTCCGTGAAAACCCTATGAAGCACAGTCCTCTTTTGACACGTGGAGTTGTCAAGAGTTGGAATTGACTAGACCGCCACTGATTAACTGGTGAGTTAACAAGTAAAATAGACTCACACTTGAGCCCAGGGAAATGTGGAGTGAACTGCAAACAACTCCACATTATGAAGGAGAAAAGCTTTTTAATGGAGGAAGAGTGATTAAATTTCGTTTTCATCTGATAGCTTTTCAAATCCTTCACCTAAGCCACTTCCTGATTCTGTTTAAAGAAAGGCATTTGGTCCTTGTGAAATGTGAACATGTGGAAGAATACAGTATCCCAGGCAAGAATGGCTTCACAATGTCCTGCACCCACCCGTCCCAACCAGATCCCTCCAGTAATGGGCTGGTCTAGTCCTCTGGGTTATTTTTTAGTAATGATATTAACATTCACTTACATTGTCTTTTGATTGTTAAAGTGCTATTTACTGGGAACAAGGAAGGGGAAGGAAATGCTCATTAGTTGTGTTCTTATAAGGTGCCAAGTACTTTATCTGTGACATCTCTGAATCCCCTCAATAACCTTGGAAATGTTATTTAATCCCCATTTTATGGCAAAAAAGTATTTATGGCATTTAAGCCATTTCTCCAAAATCACAGTTAAGAGAAAGAAGAAGATCCAAGAATCACTGAAGGAACTGGACCCAGGATTGTCCCGAAAAACCAGTGCTTCCTCTATCTTGACACCAGAAGGATTAAATAGTGCCCGGCTACCACTACTGAAGGTTTGGGGCAGGGTTTCAATAGATGAATCCTAGAAGAAATAGAAAATGTGGAACATTGCTTTAAATGTATTGGACCCACCGAGACTGGAGGAATGCCTAAGGCTATTGCCTTGAGAATCTCTTCAAACCTTAAGGCAAAACTATTCCCTGTTGTCACTTTTTAACTGAATAGCAGGTTAACCGAAAGATAAAGAATGTCATTCTTAGGGTGCAATGTAACAATGATGAGTAATACAATCTTCCTCTAGTTCCTAAAGGTTTCCTCCCCGCTCCCACTACCATGACTCGAATTCTATCTTGCAAGACTGGCTAGACCAGAGGAGGTACACTGGTACAGATAGGAACTGAAAATACAGGGAATCCAGGAC